TGGCCATTTGCGTGTCCAATCAGGACTCGTAACACCGGTCGCGCTTCTCTGATAATCTAGGACTCTAACTCCACCTAGGTTGGTAACCGTGATTTCAGGGAAATCCGGTAGAGGCGCAAATTTTTGTTACGTCGTCGTTCCGTTGTCGCCTTCGTGTAACCGTCTTCCCGCCTGTACGTAAACCGAATAAAGAGAACTCTCTGAGAAACTCCCTCCGAGTCAACGTTTTATCAAACCTCCTGCCTAAGCATTTCAGGGCACCTTTCTTCGCGGAACTGCAGCAGTGGGAGCTGCAGTCTCATATCCGTCTAGTGTAACCCCACAAAACTATTATTATAGACTGAATACTACGTCTTTACCACTGTGAGAGCACGTGTTTTGTTAATCAGCTGTACGTTGCAGTTTGAGTTGTAGTTCCGTGTTGGTGCTATTATTTTGACTCTATTTATCAGTGAAAAGTAGTGAAATATGAGTGATAAGTTGTATGCAGGCCGTAAAGGCAGTAAAAATCGAAGTACAGCGCATAGACGAAGCAAGATCGGAAATAGACGCCCGCCTAACCGTCATTCATTTGAGTGCGATTCGGAGTTCGTTAGCGCGTCGTCGAAAAAACTTAAACTAGATGATGATAAGTGTGATAGGGATGTAAATGACTCTTTCGGCTATCGATTCGTGAATTTTGTCACTGTTTTTACTGCCCTTTCACAAGTTGTAGTATGTAAAGAGTGCAAAGGTGAGGTGTCATTTTCGGAGGGGAGCAGGCGTGGGCTTGGCTCCAAAATTATTGTAACCTGTAAAAATTGTGGCGATAATCTAATAAACAGTTGCCCACTAATAAATGACCGTGCTTATGAAATCAATACACGTATTGTTTACGCAATGCGCTTGTTAGGCATCGGCATTAACGGGATCAAAAAATTTTGTGCTTTTATGGACCTTCCAAAGCCGGTTTTTCAAGTTACGTACGATAAGATCGTTTCCAATATTTCAATTGCTACCGCACGTGTGCGCACTTTATGTATGAAAAAAGCAGCTGAAGAGGAAAAACTGATGTCTATCAAGCACGATAACAACGATGGGCTTACAGTATCAAGCGACGGCTCATGGAGAAAGAGAGATTTTTCTTCACTTTTCGGTATCATCACGCTAATTGGCTGGCATACCGGCAAAGTTTTAGATGTGTGTGTAAAATCAAAATATTGTAAAACTTGTGAGTATTGGAAAAAGAAAGAAGGTACTGCTGAATATGAAGAAGGATATGCTGAACATGATTCGCAATGCCAAGCGAATCACGAAGGATCGGCGGGAAAAATGGAAGTCGACGCGGTAATAGAGATGTTTCAACGCTCCGAAACGCTTCACGATGTGAAATACATCAATTATATTGGTGATGGAGATTCAAAAACCTATAAAGGTATTGTTGATGCTAAACCATATAAAAATTTAAGTGTTTCTAAAAAAGAGTGCATTGGTCATACGTAGAAAAGAATGGGAAGTCGCCTACGTAATGTAACAAAAACGACTAAGGGTCTTGGGGGCCGAGGTAAACTAACTGGTAAACTTATTGACAAACTCACAATTTATTACGGGTTTGCTATTCAAAGAAATACTGAATCTGTCGAAAAAATGCGGAATGATATCTGGGCGACTTTATATCATAAAATATCTTCTGATGAAATACCGCAACATGGTAAGTGTCCGACTGGAGTCGACTCTTGGTGCTCTTGGCAGCGCGACAAAGCTTCAGGTTTGCTATCAAGTTTTACGCATAAGTCATCTATGCATGAAGATGTTTTCAAAGCGATAAAGCCGATCTACCGAAGAACTTAGCTCGGACGATCTTCTTTCACGCTGCTTGGGTGGATACACGCAAAATACCAATGAATCGTTTAATTCGGTCGTGTGGTCCATCGCACCGAAGGCTGTGTCAAGCGGAAAAACTGTGCTCGATATAGCGACTGATATCGCCATTATCACTTTTAATGATGGCTTATCAAGCTTATTTCCTGTCTACGATGTACTTGGATTGACGGTTGGACGAAATTTATACGATTTTTGTATGGAATCAGACGAAAACCGCATCAAAGCCGCCGAGCACTCACTTTCCGATATCGCAAAAGAGGCTCGACGCAGCATTACATCGATCAGAAGAGAGCTGGAGGAGCAAAATACGGCCGTGGAAGGGCAATTGTATGGTGCTGGGATAGCAGAGTGAAAGTAAAAAAATTTTTATGGATCATATTATGATTTCAAAAAGTTACAGCGTTTTCAAACTTTAAACGCGTTTTTTTCGAAACCATGTTTTCGAAATCGGCGAGCAGTAGAACTCGAGGTTTTCATCCGATCGACTTGAAAATTTAATTGTAACTTCTTCATTTGATTATCTAGTGAAGTACACACGATTTTAACAATTGATGAAGAGGATTTTTTTAAATAAAATATTCAAGTCGATTTTTTTCGTCGAAAATGCGAGTTTATTTTCTGAGTCTCGCCATTCTGCGAAAAAAAATTCTAAAATTATGATCGTGTGTACTTCACTAGCTAAACTCATGAAGTTCACGAAAAAATTTTTTTTTGTGCTTCCAGATGGTGATCCAGGGGACTTCTACTGCTCGCCGCGGAGGACCTTCGAAAAATCTTGTATTGTTTATGCGGTCCTACAGCCGCCATTTTGTGAAAAATTGTCACGAATGAAATTTTTTCTTACTCCTGAAGAGTTGCTTAATCGATTGATATATTGGTTGTGGGTTATAATTTAAAAATGTACTCACAGAAAAATCTTGAAAAAACCCTTTTTTTTTGGCTCCAAATAGATATAACCCCTTAACAGTCAATCGACGATCTTCCATCACAGTTTGATGCACAAAATCGATCATTTTATCAGTTGTAGCGATTTTCGGGCGCCCGGAACGTTCCTCGTCTAAAATGCTCGTACGATCACGTTTGTACTTGGCCACCCAATGTTTGACCGTTGTAAATGAGGGGAGGCTTCACCGTATACAGAGTCTAATTTATCTTTTATTTCCTAAGTCTTTTTCCCTTTCAAATGAAGAAATTTTATCACTGCGCGATACTCGATTTTCTCCATTGTTGACAGACAATGTCAGCTGACAACTTTGGAGAGTTGCCATAGACAGAGTAATGATCAGAATGACTTCAAATTTTTACGGTTTACATATGTCAAGGCTATCTATCGGACGGCGAAAGAAATTTTTTCTACAGTTACT